AGATCTGTAATAACACAAAGGGTAACTTGTGACAGGCAGTGGAATTTGTTAATGAATATGAGGTAATTAGCAAGGTTCTTTAAGATTTTAAGAAACGTAATTATCCAAAATAACTGCCTTCTATTGGCTAAACTTTGGATATGAAATTTAGCCAACAAATTTTCATGGTCAAACTCACATGGGGGTTTTCAAAGATTCATGTGATCTCACAGATATTCGTGTAAAACATCCTTGTTGTTAACACTAAAGAGTTTCAATTAATGTTTTTGGGGGATTCTAAACTACTGAAAGATAACAAAAGATAATCCCCCTCCTTGAATATTTTCCTTATAAGCATCAAAATATTGCTTAAAAAAACCTTCATTGGATATACCCCACTCCAGGTGTAATGGATAATTAGTGTTAAATTCTTGCTAAGGAAGAACTGTTAAAATTCTAATAGTACTTGGATAAATGCACGTGAGCCAGGAGCAGATCCAGCTAATCATTTTTAAAGGGGCCATCATAGATTTTTGTAAATAATTAACATATTTGTTATTATATGTTATATTATTTTTGTAGTGTACATATGATACTGTACAATAATGTTTTTTAAATAATTGCATAATTATAACATAAATAAATATTTAAATCAATTTTGTCAAATAAAGGAAGGTAAGAAATGTGAAGTCTATGTCTTGCGGGAGGGGGTATGGCCCCCATGACCTTCCTTCCTGGATCCCCCACTGACATGAACATGTCCATCTGTTACTTGATGTTAGACAATCTCCTGATACATCATTCAGACCAAATGAGAAGTAATTCATGCATTTTGGTCTACTAGTGGAGAACTGGCTGTTTCTTTCAAATCTTTCCAAATCATTCCATTAGTATCTTTGTCAATACATGTTTTGAGGGATTTTAAGCACCTGAATTGCGTTTTGGGGGCTTTTAAGATGGCTAAAGAAGTTATCAATCGTTCATTCGAATCCTTTGACTAGACAAATTGATTGGCACATTATTTTTTGCTGGATCATTGTGCAAAATTCGAAAGGAATTCTAGAGAAAACATGTTTGGGGGATTTCAAGGCACCTTTAGTGGAGAAACTCTGTGAATTATTATATTCTGCCTTTCCAGCATAATGTGAAATGTTACATCTTGGTTCAACTGATTGACAATAAATAAAAGTAATTTAGTAATGAAAAAATAATGTTAGATTCAATCATTGGTAGCTCAGTGATTAGAGAATGCATAACACAAATAAAAATGTTACATAGAAAATATTTGCCAGAGACTCCAAGCTTAGGTAGTTGAAAATAATAGTTGATGCACAAAATTTGATAACCTCTAAAATCCTAAAAGAATATTATGAAATATTAAGACCACTCATGTAGGAAACATTTCATTTTTATGCTGTTGTGATTGAAAAAGTTTCTTAAATTCAAAATAAGTTCATGATGCAATATAATCTAAGTTTAAAATTTCTCATTTGGATTAATGTGTATAATAATTATATGCTGACTATTTCTTACAATACATTAGCCAAAGAACAAAAATTGTTTTAACTGATGAAGGAATTTTGAACAAAATATATACCTCTTTTCATGTTTTGGAGCTTATTGTGAAAGTTGGTGCGGTACTGCAGTCCTTGCACTCTTCTGTTTTAACCTGGTATTTTTAGATAACTTCAGTTCTTATCTAGTAAAATGTTAATAAACAAGATCCACAAGATATCTATGAATTATTAACAGAGAAAAATAATGGTAGAACAATTGAGTCAAAAATATTGTTTTGTTTTCACTATATTTCCACTTTCTTTCATTTAACCAGGTGACAAAATCCATAGGAAACATCAATAATACAGGCATGAATTCTCGGCTGTCCGGGAGACGCCGCGTCGTTGGCTGGGGTGCCGACGTTTCGCCCGACATTTCGCAGGCTTCCTCAGGTAGGGGAAACTACCTGACGCAACGACGACGCGTACTCCCGGACAGCGAGAATTCAATGAATCACTTACCCTGAGGAAGCTGCGAAATGTCGGCGGAAACTCGCACCCCAGCCAACGACGCGGCGTCTCCCGGACAGCCAGAATTATGGAATTCGAGCCGCGGAAGCTTACGTACACAATAATACAGGCACACAAAGTAAAAAAGGTTGTGACACCCAAAGACTTAACACATATTTCTGTATGTATGTCAACGCGCTGAATCTGAATCTGAAGCCAGAATTGCGCCACCACCCTCCTGTTTTTTTAATTCCTGACAAACCACTGTGAAATTGTATTTTTTGTTTCTAGGGGTTGTTGTCAGACCCAAAGATTTCACATGATTCTCTATGTATGTCGGCATGCTGAATCCAAAGCCAGAATTGCGCCAACACTTTCCAGTTCTTTTTTAATTGTGAAAAAATTCTTCCCAAAGCCAGTTTGTCATTAAACCATTTTTTCCTTAAAAGAATTATATTTTCCACAGAGCTAGTACTTGTCAACTTGTAATATCATTGGGAAAAGTTTGATGTGATTTTTAGCAAATAAAGATGATTTTTATGTAATAATTGATATTGATTATGACTGTAGAAAAAAATCACATGTATAAAACAATTCATGTTTATTCAGCATGCTGGAAACTTTTTCCTATGGGCTGTGATCCCTTTGCTGTCTTCCCAATTTTTTCTTCCAAAATGTGGGATACATATTCATTCCATTTTCTTCTGAGAATCTGTGCTCATTCAATGAATAGCTGCAACATGCATTGTTCCCTTATAGGGTTGTTAGTTGTTCCTTACATATTCTATTCATGAAACCCTCCATGAATTTTCTGTAGCATTTGTAACATTATGGTCTCTGGTATTTGACTTGTCCTTGCTATTTCCGTTCTAGTTTCAGCAGCTTAAGTATAGACATAGGCATAGTTACATATTAGGCTGCAAGACAGAGCCTATCAAAACATTTAATGAAAATCAAAAACTGTTTTTATTACTTCATAATGTGCTTATTGATAATTTTCCAATTCACAATCATATTTCAGCCTGTCCGGATGGCCGATATCGCTGAGGTAGTAGTGCTGTAGCGATCTCGGACCGAAGGATCGCGGGTTCGAGTCCCGTCTCGAGCATGGTTGTATTGTGTTCGCCCTTTCACACTCCAATCATCATCATATTGTGTCATCCTCATAGTTACCATATCGTTACATGTAATATTGGTTGCTAATGCCCTAGTAGTTGATGCGATCTTAAATAACAAAAGAAAAGAAAATATTATATTGATATATTTAATATTATATTAATATACTTTTTATGTTTTTTAAATATAATTTAATTTCGTCTATAAAAAAGGTTATTGCTAATTTTTAATTTTATTTTAAAACTAAAAATTAATTCTATTTCTATCTATCAAATCTTGAAATGTCACTTTATTAAAAGAAATATTATGTGAATATGTAATAAACATGTTTAAATTTCTAATATCAGCAAGGAGTTATTTTGATTATCCCTAATTTAGAAAAAATTGCTGCTGAAACAAGCAGAAATTCAAAAAACAATGGAGAATAGCGCGCTGAAGCATAAAAAAGAGAAAAAAGGTGGCAAAATATAGTAATCTCACGAAACGGTGCAAAAAGGTGCAGTAAATTTTATTCACTCTGCTTCATTTCATCCCCACAAATACATGTATTAAACAATCAATATGAAAACAGCTATAGTTTTGAAAAGGTATTGCACCTTAAAACCATTTCCCTGCTTATGAGAAAAGATTCATATTTTATGATTGAGCACACAATCGTTTGATTCTTGCCTGTTGAGTTCAGTAAGTTAAATACTTCAGTGAAGTGTTTATAGACTATTGAACTTTTTTTTTCTGACAATATCTTCATTTCATGGAATTCTAGGTAAGTTCTTGACTTATGTTAATATAATATACAATATATTATATAATACACAATTCATTCTTAAACTTCAAATGCAAATTATTATGAAATAAATATTTCTGAATTAAATTTGGTTTAATCTTCAATGTATTTAACATTTTTAACTTAATTTGATAGGTAATATGATAATTTTTATTGCGTATTTTATTTTCTTAGTCAAAGATTTCTATTATTTGAATTTTGTTTCTTTGTAAATGTTGTGTGTTATGTTCAGTTAGTTGTTGTTACAAATATTATATATGGTGCTGAGAATAAATGTCTTAAATAAGTGTTCTTGACTTTTTTATTTATTATCAGTGTCACATTTTTGTAAAGTTTAGTACCAATCATAACATGCTTCATTTAACATATTGACATATATCATATATCATAGTAATGATTTTTTTTTGTTATCTCTCATCTAATTTACTAAGTTAAAAATGGGAGGTGAAAGGGCCTCATAAGTGGAATAGCCTAGGGCCTCTTTTCATCTAAATCCCACCCTGGGAAAACCACTGAACTTTGGTAGTGCAAAACCTTAAATAATAAACAAAATTATTATTTTATTAAAATAAGCAACACTATTGTCAACTACAATACATACTGCCACCTGAATGTAATTTCTGAAAACATCAAAATTTGAAAATTTTTGTTAATCAACTATGAATGAACGTAAGTGTACAATAAATGTTTTATAAACCTCCTCTGAAAAGTTGTGTTTTTCAGACCATGTTTAACTTCACTATGCTCAACCTCAAATGACTCTTCGAAAAAACTTCCACTTTTCAGCCTTGTTATCTAAATGTAAATGTATGTTGTACTTCTCAATATAGTTCAAAATATAAATTTATTTCATCATTTATTACAAACATTTTACATTTCAATGAATATTACTAATTGAATTGTCTTCATACAGTTTCAATTCTCTAAAAGCATTATGTATTATTAATTGAATCTTTAAAAAAATTAAAAAGTAATGCAGTTAACTACATTTCTATAACTAAGATATCCATATTTTCTTTTCATCCACATTGCATTAATAAAAAACTATGAGTTAATTTGAACATAATAATTTTTCTTTGAAAAGTTTGGACTGCTCATCTGTTTTTTTATAAACATGTTAATTTAATATTTGTGAAGAAGGATACAATTGTACCTACACTTTACCAAAAATATTGGCATTACCTTCATGTGTTATGGCTGAAATAATTTTTTTTGCTCAGAATACTTGAGTTATTATTTTCTTTTTCTAACGATTTGTTCTCAAACACTCCTCCACTTCTGTTTCATTACCGTCATCATCCAAAAGATTCACTGCTTCCATTGGATCTGAAATGAGGAAATAATTCATTAGAGTGGGCATACATGTATTGTCTTTTTTATTGAACTAAATGCTTCATCGATATTTATGAGAATACATTCCCTTAAAACTTTTAATATTGGCCATCTTTATTTCTAAAGGACTGGATTATACACAAAGTATTACAAAAATATTTTTTATTACTCGAAAAATTACTCTTACTACCTACATTTTAGGAACAATACCTCATATCCTCATTTTTATGGAAAATGAGCTTCTTGAAATGAATATTCACTCTTAAACGACACAAACGCTTTCTTTTGCTAAAATAATCCTTAAAATATGTATTGCATGGAAAAATGTGATTACAAAGTTTTATAAAGAAATAATATATATTTAATTATATAGAAGAATGTATACATTATTTTTGGTTTCCAGTAAAATTACTTTATTAGAGATACAAGGAATTGTTTCTTAAGTGTTGGTAAATTATAAGGAATTAAATGTATTGCTTTCTTAAAGCCTGATCTCTTTTCTTTAAAATTCATACATAGTTAATTTTTGTTTCATCATTAGTAATTTAAATTTTATAAAATCATTACTATGTTAATCTCTAAACACTAATATCACACAAATCATTCTTCTCTCAGAATAATAAATGTATTGTTTATGTTTTTATTAAGTTTTATGCATGGAATTTAGAAATTCCTGTCAATTTAGGAAAGAACATAAGATTTTAGTATATTTTATCATTTCATATTAGGTGTTTGGCAATATGAATCATAAATTTTTATCTTGATTGAACAATGTGTAAAAATGGTATCTAGTTTGAATCAGAAGTGATGTATAGGAGGAGGCAAAGTAGATACTGAATATGGAAAAAAATATAAAGAAAACATTACCAGATTCCTACAATATATAATTTCTAAACAATATTTTTTTCTTTTGAGTGTTTTCAATGTGGAAGGTAATCATCATTGCACTGAGACAGCAAACAGCTCTGTCACAGGAAGAGGAGAAACAAAGTGGTGATCTGAAGGGAAATATTTGTCTTTAAAGACCTACTTTAAATAAATAAATTCTAGAATTCATTAAGAAATGTTCAAAAAATTAAGAAAGATAATGCATCCTGGACTTATACACAGTAAAACGTGCAGTTGCTGCTGCAGAATCCACTGTCATAATGGGGCAATGTTCTTCTAGCGAACATTAGTAGACATTAGAACATTATTACAATTTTTTCATATATATGTTTAGTATAAACTTTCTTTGAGAAATTATTAAATAAAACAATTATTCTTTGAGCAAATCACTGCCACACCTTCGAAAAAGATGAAAACATATCGATTTCATTTCAGTTATAATATACATTTTTTCAGATTTTTTCGCTTCTATTTGTTTATATTATACAGCATTTTTATATAATCTGATTTCATTGGGATTAGATTACCCCATCATATTAACGACTAGATTAATTGACTAGTGTTTCCGGGCGCGTCAACTGCTGAGGTGGCTCCGTAACTTGGCTCCGAAAGCGTTGTGCAGGTCTTCATCACGTGAGGTGCCGGTGATCTTCCCCCGCTGGATGGTGAAATCCGGCGCAAACCTACATGGGTTAAGAGGAAGAAAGATTTTGCGAGATCCGTGACTTGTTTGTTAAGGGACTACTCTGACATTGCCGTTGATCGGAGGGAAAAAATAAAAAGCAACTACCAATCAGAGCTGCCGGCCGCTAGAATTCTCCCCCAGAGAGCAGCTTAATTCGACCTAGCTGCGTAGTTGGTGTCGAAAAATCATGCCACTGTCAGTTCTCGAACCCTAGCAACGCCCGGTCAGAGCCATGCAGTGATAAATAGTTGATGCACTGAGCCACCTAAGCCGGTAGCAACGAATGGAAAAATGCACTTTTGGGTTCTATATTATGGTCACATAAATTTTTGCAATTGCGTTTACTCGGAAACAATTAACATCATTCATGCAGAAAAAAACAAAAACTTTTTACCTTTTTACACATCAACTTTCTGAGGGCGCTTACACCCCTTTAGGACGTATGTCCTCAAAATGAAGCAACTCGAGGCTCTTTCTTCATCCATTACAATATTCAGAATTCGGTAAAATCGGAGAGGGACACCTCAGAATGTTTCCTTGGAAGAGTACTTGTGTTAAATGTTTTTAATCATGAAATGCAGCAGAGCTATTCAACAGATACACATTGTTATGTTGTTTAATGTTTCAAGTACAGAATATACAGAAATCGGGAGGTCGTAGGGTTGCAGCCACGATGGAGGAGGATTTTCGACACTTAATGCAGGTAGGTCATATTCAACTATCGTTTGGAAGAGATAGCGACCGGGTGTTCTGATCTGTAGTTTTCTGCGGTGAATGGAGGAGCAGTACTTTAACACTAGAAAACGGACATCCCGTGATCTTTCCCTGCGTATCCTTATTCGCACCTCACTTCTTTCACACAAACACACACTCACACTCACACACGCGCGCTCACGAGCACGCACTGTCGTCTCGACGGTGGCAGGACTTTCGACACTAGCTACGTAGCGAGGTCGAATTCTGCCGCTTTCTGGAGAAAAATTCTAGGGACCAGCTGCTTTGGTCGGTAGTTTTCCGTAGTTTATACGATCAATATCATGCGAATACCGGAGCAGTAACCTAACAAACGGGCCACACTTGCCGGGAGACCGGTCGGAAGCGTAGAGCATGTCTCGGCTGGGGCGGTGCCCTGTTGATGGGAAATACCTGGTTGTGTTGTGGGAATTCTCGTCAGCCGTCGATAGGTCGGCGCCAGATGTCACCATGCAGCGAAGGAAGATCATCGCTACCTCTCAAGGAAAACGCATGCACTACACTTTCGAAAAATTGATCTTAGCAGTTGACGCGACGGGAATCACTAATTAGTCAATAAACCGATTTCAGTCGCTGTCTGAAAAATAATTCTAGCGGCCGGTTGCTCCAATCAACACCAGGCGAATGCTGGAACAGTACCCTAACAAATGGGTAACGGACCGCATGCAAAAATTCCTTTCTTTTCCTTGTCCTATCCTCATGCTAAGTCTCAAGAGAGAAACTGGTGACCAAACTTCAGATAATTTTAATGTCTTTTCAATGTTAGAAAGTATATTATCCACAGAAAGTATGCATGAATGCCCAGGAGCAGAACATTTTATTACTGATTATAACTTGATCAACATCTTCGTTTTTGAGTAAAAAGAGTTGCCTCTTTTTACTCAAAAACGCATAAGAAATATTGGAGTTGCTGTTTTAAGGGACACAGCTAACCCTCCACAAAATATACTCCCTAATATTAGAAAATACTTAACTTATTATGGTAAATATTGTTATCACTGGGCTGTCTATGTCATTCTCAGAATAACCACAGTGTGCCTCATGCAAAAATTCACAATATCCTTTTTTATCTTTTAGGCAATACGCATTTCTCTTATAGACATTTAACTTTCGTCTATAGAAAGAGCAACTTTCATTATCTCGCGGAAGTGCAATAACATTTTTCAAGTCAAAAAATACAACTATCCTGTTACTTTTACGGTCAGAATAGTCATTCTGCCACGTATCTATAGTATCCTCGTACACAATGATCACTTTACATGCTCACTCTATATCCTAACATGTCATATAATGTAACCAATACTTTCAACTACGTGCTTTTTCAACGGGTGCTGCATATATAACTGTTTCCCAGGTTTTCCAAATTATGCAGAGAGAACTATATTTATTTGAATATAACTTTGAAACTAATGCGAATTTAGTTACAATATATTTTTTTGAAACATATAGGCTTTCTCTATTCATAGTATACTCGTACGCAATAAAATCAGAAATGATAAGAATTGCAGGTAAAACACTCTGGTCCTCACGTCGCGTAGTCACAACACCCCCTTACACATTATGATAAAGAATACTTCGCCACAAAGATTGTTGAGAAGTGTCGCACGGGTTACCTAGGTCTTCAACTACAAAGACTTCGGTTTCCAGGATAACTGGAGTGGACAAATGTTATCTCGCTTCAAAAAGAAGAATCAGAATGGCCTTCCTGGAAGGCATACGAAGATGAAACTGTGAAAGCAATACAGTTTTTGCTGAAATACATTATTAATAATGCTAGGGTTATATCTACTCCCCGCGCGACAACTTAGAAGGTAAGTGTATTCGAGCTACAACAGGATATCCATGAACATATTACAAATCGCAATGCTGACATTTCGCGTGAACCGGGAGAGATAGCTCAGGAGAACAACTTTTTCCCTGCAACGCCCCCAGCCGGAAGGTCCTAGAGTTCGAATCCCGACAAGGGCAGATTTTCGACACTAGCTAAATAGATAGGTATGCATCGACCACTTTCTCGAGGAGTATTCTCATGGTTGGCTGCCATGGTAGGTAGTTTTCCGTTTTCTACAATAAATATGAGACGAATATTAGAGCAGAACCTTGACAAACGGGCCACAGATTGCGCGTGATCTTTCTTTTGCCATCCGTGACTCGTACTTTCCTCACACATACACACACAAAGACCCACAGACACATACACACACTGACACTGACTTCGATACTGACATCTACACTGGCAATGACACAGACACTACTACACCGCCACACTACCACATATGTCGGAAGGCTTGTAGGTAGCCGAAAGCTTATCCAGGATAGGGCGGTACCCCGCAAGAGGGGAGATACCTGGTGGAGGAAATGCCCGCAAGCCGACGCGGGATCATACGTCCTAGCGAGGGAGAAACACTGCCACCTCTAGAAATATTGCATGCACTACATTTACCGGAGTGACAACAGTAGTTGACGCGCGTGAAAACGCAAAATAATCAATTTTCGGTGGTTTGTGACCTGAGGTTGATTTCTGCGACAGCCGACCGCTTATGAAAAGTCTGCTGTTTGACAAAAGATGAAATTCAGTACCAAATATTTAATTTCATTTCATTAAATTTGTTCGTCACATAGCACTAAAAATTGTATGTGGCATATAGGGGAGAAGTATAATCTGTGCACGTTTTGATAGAATTAACACAACGTTTTAATTGAATGTAACTTCAAATTAACTTCTCCCCATAGCACGTCATACACCGTTTTTAACTGTTTTTGACGTAAATAAATAAATAAATAAATAAATAAATAAATAAATAAATAAATAAATAAATAAATAAATAAATGCAGAATCTCTTCCGCGTCTTTTACCCACAAGTTGTGGAATGGTGAATAAAAGTATCAACAAAGCGAGGTTAGCGGCATTTGAAAACGACATTTTTAGTCCAGGGTTATAGACAATTTATTTGAATCGATAAACTAACTACAGATTTGAATAATTACACTAAATAAAAAGAACCGTTGGAGTATACCAGATCAATGATACTGTAACAATGAAACTTGTTACAGTATCATGGATTTTTTTTTGAGTATTGCTAACAAAATAGTACCCCACACCCCGGCTCTACTCTTACCACAACAAGCGAAAGGAGAGAACAAGGAAACGTGTGCGTGGTGAAGCTACATTTATGTCCAGAGGCAATACAAGGGGCTATCTCATAATTTGCTTAAACTGGACGAAACATCATTAGAAAAATGAAAGATAGTGTATTTTTCGTTGTCCCGAACGCAGATCGTCCAAAGTGGTTACGAAGATGCAGTATGTTTTGAAGATTTTTTAAAATTGCACTATTGCATCTCCTGTACAATTCGCGAAGTAACGCTGATCCCGTTGTTCGGTCGCGCGCTGAAGTTCTCGGCTGCGAATGAAACGCGCGTACCGAATTGAGGAGCCTGGGGTAATTGTAAGATTAACTACAGCAATTTCAGCAAGCCTCACATTGTAGGGGAGGGTACTGCACAGTGACACAATAGTTATATATGCATCAAGAGTGTCTGAAGCGTTGTAATGATCGAGCGGCGTCAAAATAACAGAGGGTCATTGACCCATGGCTTTTTGTCGCCCGAGATCATTGAACCCATAGGCACTGCGATTAGTTCTTTTATCAATTTTACAATATTACACTACTGGTTAAGAAGACATATGCTTTATATTTAGGTAATTTCTCTGTATTTTAGCAAAACATTTTAAAGAAAAAATCTGGAGCAGTGTTCTTCTAGTTTTATTCTTCTATTACTTCGTTTCTACAGTTTTATGTACAGCTAAACTATTTATTTCCACTCTTTTATACCTGCCGCAACATGACTTCCAATTCTTATCCCATCAGCGTATCATCTTATGCCAATACATTCGTATCTCATTCACAGTCTTCCCTTTAACTTTCTTGCCCTTACTTAGTAAGAAGAGAAAGTATTGTGAGCCGGAAAATGCCGAATTTTCGACAGAAAAACTCATGTTGGCGTGTCCTGGTAACGAACTGGTGAATAAATCATTTTTTTTTATATAGTAAATTACTTCCTCCAAAACACTATGTATCCAGGATTCATGATTTGAGGTTATATGATTCCGAAAAGTCGATTGATAGCAAAATGTCTGCCTCTCCGCCGTCTATCCATTCGCGTTCACCGCAAAAATCATAGATTTTTTAAAAATTGAAAAAGTGCATTTCTTCGGCGACTTCCTACAACTACAATATTGAAGATAGATATTTTCTTTCTTAATGCAATGTGTTTTTAATGGCAGATCTTAAAATAAGGTCATGCACAATTTTTCGAAAATATGTATAATTTTCACTTAATTTTGTAAAAAATAGCAATTTTTAAATTTTTTAAGGTCATGGTACTAGCCTCATTTCCGGCGAATGCTGTGTATTTTCGAAAATTGCAAAAAGTCAACCATTCAAAACTACAAAATGAAAGATGGTTATTTTTGCCTTCAACAGAATCTGAATTCTAAAAAAAAGCTCTTTAAGAATCGTCATGTACAATTTTTTCAGGTCATTTGTGGTTAAAAATTAATGCAAATTATGAAAAAAAGATTTTGTCACAAACTGTTTAATTTTTTTCTTCAAGTTTTTGCATGTATAAAACAAGGGACGCTCAAATAAATGACGTATGTCTCAATTTTTTGGTGTTAACTGGCAGGACCTGAGTTCGAGTCTCAGTGCGGAATTATTATTTTTTGGTTGAAAACACTGTTGCAGCTTCATGTATAATATGGCGGAACATTTAGAAAAAAAATCGAGAAAATATGTGTTGATATAGCACCAGTAGTTGAACAGTAGCTTACCTTCATGGGTTCGCGAATGTTCGCGTAGAGCTCTGCGGCCGGTCCACCAGTCCGCCAGGTTGCCCAGCCACATGCGTAGAGCTCCACGGCGGCCTCTCGCGGCACCTCCTCGTTCTCTTCCGCCACCCTCGCCGCCGCCGCGACCTCTGCCACCTGGGCCGCTTCCTCCTCCTCTTCTGGCGACGCCTCCGCTCCCACCGGGTCCTTCTCGGCAGCCTCCGTTAGCGGGTCCGTTCCCGACATTATGGTGACCGCTGCATCGGACATTGTGGTGACCGCCGCCTCGAACGTTGCGAACGCAGTTGATGTAACCGTTACTGCAGCGCGCGCCGCGCCCTCCGCGTCCGCTGCCACCCCCGACGCCTGCGCCCCCGGCTCCACTCCTTTCGCCTACCGCCGCCTCCGCGCACCGCCGCGCGGGCGCAAGCGTACGGAGCGCGCGACCAGCGGGTGGAGCGGGGCGGCGTGCGCGAGTCCCGGGGCTGGGCGGGCGTCCTCGTGGGGGCATGCGAGCGCACGTGCGTGCGTGGGCGACCGACCGGTGTGGCCTCGCGATCGCGGGCGGCGCGGTTTTGCCTGTGATGGCGCGGTGGAGTCGCCGGGTCGGGGCGCCCGACACCAGGCGCTCTGCCCGTCGCTCATCTGCTCTCGCCATCCCTCGACCCGTCGACTGACAGTCACCGGCCAGCCGGCCGGCTGCGAGCGCGAGCCGTCCGCATGAAATACTGTCGACACGTGGCAAGATGAAAGTGTGGCCAGCACTTGCAGGCGCGGGTGAGCGCGCGGGGAGACGGCTGCACCGCTTATCGCGTGCGGGGCGCCCTCCATTCCCCCGTCACGCGGCTGCATCAAATGGGCGCGATGGACCCGTTTGGCTACTGTGGGTCAGGGCATTTGTAGATCTGTTTCACTTGAGCTTGTTTCTTTCCGTCTTTGTCGGCGAGTTACTCTGCTTCTGTTCTTGCTTCTGAGACTCCACCTCTATCTGTGTACGCCTTTAGGGATTAGTCTTGGCTCCGTATTGTCACGCATCTCTCGTCAGGAGAAATGTACCCGTCGGACTCCTGTGAGTCTGAGCCTATGTGTGTGCATCTATCTTTGTATGACTCGTTTATAGACATATTTTCTTTGTCGGCGAGTTACTCTCTTCCTGCCGTCGTCTCTATGATCCCACATGTACTTGCTTATACTTAAGGTATCTGTCTTTGCCTGCTTGGATATGTCAAACACTTCTGGCAGAATGTGCCCGTCTGACAACTGGAGGTCTGAATCTTTGTGAATGCAGCTGTCTTTGTTCGACTCCGAGAGCGATCACCGTTCTGTCGCGAGTGCGGTCATCGGGCTAATTTCGGCCGAATGCCAACTATTGGTCTGCGGCGTGTATGCAACTGTCTTTTTTTATCTTGAAGCGGACGAGTCTCAAATCATTTTATAGACAGACAATGCGTTGTATAACTTAATTTATTTTTATTTTTCTACAAATTTGCAACACGTTTCAGGGATTGGTTGTCCTGCTCATCAGAATAAAATTGAAATCCATATTACATTATATTTTATTCATTTAAAAATAACATAATACATTTTAGATAAAAACAAAAGGAAATGTATGATGTATAGATCGTGCTTACTAAATAAACCAGATCCCATAAAGCGTTTTGTCATCAAACAGACACCAAAGTCACAATATACATCAACAGTACACCATATCAACAAAATACTGCAACATAGTGGAAGAGTGAATGACGTTAAGGTTCACTGCGCATTATATGCAGCAGCAGGTTAAACCTACGAAAGGAAGGAAGGAAGGAGGGAGAGGAAAAAGAAAGTAAATGTGCTATAATATTTTGTTGCTATAGCGTACTGTTTATATATTTTGTGACTAAGGTGACTGTTGGATACCGTTCGTACTTGGGAATGTTTCACTCTTCACTTTATGCAATTCGAGACAATTCGTCCGAAAACATTAAAATTTACTCTCGTATTCATTTATCAAGGGAAAGAAGCTGAATCTAGGATCTAATGATTTGCAACATTCTTGCCTTTTTGTATTTGTTCGCACATTTTATTTATTTATTTATTTATTTATTTATTTATTTATTTATTTATTTATACTGTCATCTGTCATATTAACGCTATTTTAGTTTTCATTTGTAAGTTTCAAACCTATATAATGCATGGATTCTATGTAAAGAATTCCATATTTCATCTCACCAAAGGAATGCTAGAGGTCACTCAAGGTTATGCAACCAGCAATGCATGCGTGCTTTGCGTGCACGTGAGACCCTTAGGTTAAGCGCGCACAGATGTATTGTGCGCCACCCAGCCGTTGCCACGAAAACAACACGCAGCGTCTCTATCTATTGTGCGCACGAGCGGCGAACGATTCTCTCCAGTAGTAGGAAAGACGCCACACTTTCTGTCACTCGGACGGTGCACCCCTTACCCGAAGAAATACAACACGGGATGAACTCCCTGTGCAAGCGCGGGGAAAAAACTGCCGTCGGCAGGTAGGGAGATCGCTGGGAGATAGCTTGGGAAAACAGGCGTTTCTGTCTTAAATTGTAGATCGAATGATATTTCTTTGACCCCAGTTAATAAGCTGATAAGTAGTCTTTTTGCTGAAAATGAGATAATTATACTCCGGAACTACCTGAAAGATTTTCTTCATTTGTGCATGATCAGGCAAGCTTAATTCCCTCAGGTTGATGATCATATGTATTTATGAACATCACGTAAATTTCTTAAAATGAAAAACCCTAAAAAGATAAGTAAAGTTTTCTGTTAACGCTCGCTAAAATATGTTGATTTGTCTCTTTTTTCACGCAATAAGATTATTTGAAATAATCAAAGGAGAAAAATTATTAGTATTCTTATCAACTCATTCACGTAAATATTTTTGTTAAAGAGCTCGTGACTAACCGAGAATATGCTCAACATGACGAAATCTTGCTTAAATACAAGCTGAGTGTGTTTATCTTTGTAAATATTTTAAACTTATAACACAAAGGAGCCAACAGTGAAAAAAAATCATAGTAAGTTAAGACGACGAAGAGAATGGAGATTCCCAAGTTATCCAATTCTGTGAATTGATTAGGAAGGATGAAAACGAAAATAAACTCTTGTGCTACACTGCACATTAGACACTTGGAGAGGACATACGTAAGAAAATACGACAACAAAAGGTCAAAGTGTGTGGCTATTTCAAACGCAGGACCATAGGCAGCATTCAGTCTTATTTAAAGGAAATTAACTACGAATCCATACGGACCCGCATGACTGTCATCGTGTTGGTGCGAAAATACTCGCATTTTAGTTGCTCAAGCTTCTGTGAACCAGTGGTGGCTGGTGCTAGAAGCGTTCAAGAATAATAGGGTGGTATATGTTTTTTATTCGCACAACTATTTTCTATGATCTAAATGTCTAAGAGTTACATAATGTTTCCCAATAATATTTTGCCATATCTCAGGTGCAATTAATATTCGTTTGACGAATTATTTCAACAGTGAGCAGTATGAAGGCTGTGTTAGAAAGATTTCTAAAAGCGTAGCCGATTTTAATTTTGTGTTCAATTGGTTTAAATGGATATTCAATTCGAGGTTTGACGGAATTGAGATACCCAGAAAGTTTGTTACTACGACAGTTAATTCATCGTTCATACATCCCATCATTCATTTTAAGTGTAGTACACTATTGTCTATAAGAGTTGGAAACTGCATTGAAATAATTTACTCTTCATTAACTTTCAATTTATTACGAAACCAATTTGAAAATTCTGATAATATACTCTTTTCCCTTTCTTCATTGAAAAGAATATTCGTATCATCCATAAAGAGAATTTTTCTTCCGTTTTGAACCGTCTATGGCATTTCTTTGGAGGAGATGTTCTAATATTGAAAACCGTTTGTTTCGCTAAACATTTGAAATCTTTGTCAAAACAACCTAATATGCTATATCGTATGCTTACAAGGAAAAACCACTAAGTCCATTGTTAAGCGAAAACTTTTTGTGACATCTATATACTGAATTGTTTGCTCTACAATCTGGGAATCCGCTTCGTGATATCTCTGTTCAGTTTTTAGAAGTAAACCGGAATAAATATACTAACTCCACAATTGACAAATTATTGACAGGCAACCCTCTAAAATCACTTAACGTGTTCTCCCTGAGAATATTTCTTGATACTTAAATTGAACGCTACTCGCGAACTCCGAATGTGACTGAAATGAAAATTCCCCCTCAAAAATTTTTTTGAATGAAATGGAACCAAAATGAGAGTTTGTCAGTATTTTTTCTTAAAACGCTATCTATAGGAAAATATTCTAATTTCTTACTGATATAAAGAAAAGAGTGGAGTCTTTACTGCAAAGACAGATAAAAGCAACGATCATAAAACACAATCCAATATACCTGAAGGTGTAAACCAACGTATCGAAAGTTTCCCAACGGTAAACTCTCTGAATCCACGAAAGTTTACGCAGAGAAAATATTTGGATCCAAAATTGAGTATAAGTAAAATGTAGAAGTTATATAACAGTAAATGTGACGATGAAGGACAATCTGTGCTATGCATAACATACGACAGTGCGAAAGGAATTGAAACATCGGAAGCTGTCTAAAATTACGCTTCTCTAATGAAGAGAAAAAATACTTAAATATTGCCCAATGTAAGGATAAAGAAAGAGCAATTAGTGATGGTAATTTCGTTTCAGTCACATTCGATCTGCAGTGGATACTACAAATACCATCTTCAGATGACAGCCAGCAGTACTATAGTATACAGTTTTATGTTTATAACCTAAAAATTAATGAATCAGGTCCGAAAAATACTGATTATTTCTTTGTATGGATTGAAATAAAAATGAAAAACAGACAGCTCTGAAATTGTCTCATGTTTGCTTAAATACGTGACAAGTCTTCCCGAAATGGTAACTCAGGTTTCCTTGTTTTCCGATACATGCGATGGTGAGAACCAAAGTCAACATTTTGCTGCACTTTTATTGTATTTAGTTCAGAATACAGATATTCAGGTGGTATAAAATAAATGGAAAATACGTGGCCACTCGTATGCATAGAGAGATTAACTGTTAATTTTACTATGTATCATACCCATGTATTATAAAATAAAACATCAACACTTGTTTAGTTGATGGTAAATTGTGTTTAGTAATTGTTTTTTATATTAATAATTAGTATATCCTATTAAAACACACATACTTTTCGGCACTGCATATGCCACTAACATATGACATTATTTTAGATTTGAGACC